TTTTTCATTTCTGTTTTCACTGTTTACTGAATTTTTATGATTTTCCTTTTTAAAACGTTGGTGACAAAGTTCTATTTTCTGTTTGCTAACCCTTCTTAAGTTTGTGACAGTCCTTTCTATATTGATATCACCTTGATTTTATCTATATTTGGAAATTAAATAACTATCTTCCCCCTCTTGCTTTGTAGTTGCTATTGTTTACAAAGTGACATCTGGTTCTCTAGTTTCAGTGTCATTGTATCTTCAATATTTCTATCTCTGGGTTTCTGGTGATAGTATTAAGTGTCTTAATCTTACATTGCTTTTTGCCATTATTGATTCTCTGTCTGATGAACTCCCTTTAGCATTTCTTGTAAATTTAGTTTGGTTTCCAAAATTTACTTAATTTCTGTTTATCTGGAAAGTCCCAATTTTGCCATCATACTTGAGTAATACATTTGGCATTACTAGATTGCTAATATAGTGGTATAATCCAACCAGTGGCTTTTGAGGGGATCTGTGGGATGAATGAATTAAATTCAAGGCAGAGAGTTCAGCTTAGAAAGTTATCATGACTTTTTGGAGGGATCTGAAGGAGTAATCTTGATATATTGTCTTGAAGGACACAAGTTCCCTATCAGGAGGCCTGGTACTACAGTTGGTTAAGCATTGAACTGATAACCACAAAGTCGAAGGTTCAAACCCATCAGTTGAGCAAATGTTAGTGTATAAATACATAACACAGGTTAATGTTTTACAGAACTAAAACCCATTAGTTGAGTAAATATTAGTGTATAAATACATAACACAGGTTAATGTTTTACAGAACTAAAATGTGTGGCCAATATTTCATAAAATGTGAGAAAAAATGTCAAATGTGTAAATTACCAGAAAAGGAGCAAGTATATAAGAAAACAATACACTTTACATAAATGAATTATATCAATTATAGAGAACAGTTACCATGAAAATACATTACTTTTTTCTCCAACCGAATTTTATAAAATAAAGCCAATATGCATTCCTCTGTGAGCTAAGACTGCATAATCACTATGGCTCTTTACAAGACCAGTCAAAGACCACATGCTCTCATGGGATCTATCATACATTGTTTTTAGTTCTTAACTGGAATTGAGCTTCCTTCTGTAGTCTCTTTAAGTGGTGGTGGTTTGGCAAGATTTTCATCAGGAAATCAGCTGTAGTGTCTGGGCTGTGGTTGCTCAGTTTGCACCCAGCAAGGCAGTCGGCACTGTAGGTCACTGTGTTCTCAGGAATGACTTCCAAGGTGTTCAGACTGCAACAGGCACCAATGATGCAACCACTCATCAATATTATAATTCTGCCTACATATGCTTTTGACTCAATGACATTATTATCTCCCATTTTCCTGGCTTGAGAATAATAACCAACTTCAAACACGTCATTGGTTCCAATGATCATAGCTTTGGGTTCAGAATCTCCAGCATCAGGGGTGATATTATCAGGGTGAGCATTTCACAAATCAGTATGGGCCCGGCTTCTGCAATAATCTGTGCTTTTGGGTGGATCACTGTCCTCGGCCCTATAGTTACATCTTCTCTGATTTCACTTTCTACACACACCACTGCTCCAGAGGTAATCTTCACACTCTTTTGAATCTTCTCTTTCATATTACAGTATGACCCCAGTCTTCAATTGGACAAAGTACCATTGTACATACATTCAAAATGCTAAATAATAATCATTCATTCATTCATTAGTGCAGGTTCCTTAAAAACTTCAGTAAGTCTGTTTGAATTTAGTATGATCTGTCCTACATTGATATAACTACATTTTAAAATACATGTTATACAGCATATCATATAATGTAATATATATGAATTAATAATTTTGGACTTTAACCCAATTAATGAATATGAACTAATTGGATAATTTCCAAAACATCAATGCTTTAAATCAGTCTAGCATATCGCTGGTTAGCATCACAAGCTTGAAGTGAACAAAATATGAATAGATATTTTTTATAAATTGCTTTAAAGAGTATATATCGCTATATGAGGATCATAGTAATAGACAATTTACTAAAACCAGAAGTACAGCCATCAGTCTCAGTTCAGGCAAATTAGTATAGAAGAGGATGGTGACATACCTGTAGTACTACATGATTGGGATACATTTGCAGCCAGTGAAAAGAGAGTTTAGAGAGTTGTAAAAATGACTAGAAAATTATAATCAGAAAGCTATTTACAGTATGTTTTATTTATTAAGAGAGGTATTGAAAAGGTTTGACATCCTCTCTTGGTTTCCACCATTTGTTTTTTATAACCCTACAACCTCACTTAATCATTTTTAGTCATAAGATTGTCAATGGTTTATACAAACCACTTGGACTCCTCTATACTCATCCTCCCTACT